AGGGGCATTGCTGGCACATGATGGCATATATCACAGAACCACTAACCCAGGAACCTATCCTTGCAACAAAGCCTGTTGCCAACTGTGTCCACATATCTATTCAGGGGACACCATCATAGGGCCTAATCACATCAGCCACACAATCAGAGGCTCGTTCACCTGCATATCTACCAATGTGATATATGCCATCATGTGCCAGCAATGCCCCTCTGCCATGTACATTGGTCAAACTGGACAGTCTCTACGTAAAAGAATAAATTGACACATGTTTATTTCCCCCACTCCCACCCCACTGTTCCTCAGACTTTCTCGTCAACTGCTGGAAATGGCCCACCTTGATTATCACTAGAAAAGGTTCCTCCCCCCCCACTCTCCTGCTGGTAATAGCTCACCTTAAGTGATCACTCTCATTACAGTGTGTATGGTAACACCCATTGTTTTATGTTCTCTATGTATATAAATCTCCCGCTGTATTTTCCACTACATGCATCCGATGAAGTGAGCTGTAGCTCACGAAAGCTTATGCTCAAATAAATTTGTTAGTCTCTAAGGTGCCACAAGGACTCCTTTTCTTTTTGAGAATACAGACTAACACGGCTGCTACTCTGAAATCTGTTACCAAAGGAACAGTGTATCCCAGTTTACCAGTTTTACCTCTTAGACCATCGGTCCTGTATATCACACAACACGTGAGTTCAGTTATGGCAAAACAATAGGAAATTTATTTAAGAAAGAATAGAGATTTGGACAGAAACAAGTGTGAGTGATGGAAACAAGTGGTTTCATAAAAAACAAAATCCTAAACAAGAAGTTACCTTTCCTATCTAAGAAAGTAGATTCCCATCCCTAAGTACAGTTTTTGCAGTGCTTGCTAGCCCCACAGAGGTACTATCAGTCTTTCATGAAGTATCCCTGTTCATCAAGGTCCCTCCTCAGTGAATGGTCCCCTAGTGTCTTTCTCTATCATGTGATATACTGAATCAGTCTTTTGTCTTTATTCACAGAGAGAGTGATCCCTTGCTATCATTCCTTTTCACTCCCAAGTGGTTTTGATGTTTATAGTTTCTTTGATGGGTTTCCATTGACTTTTCTGGGTTGGTGCAAAGGTGGACACTGAGCAATGCATTACATAATTGGCTAGCCAGAGAAGGTAGCAACTCCCTCCCATCTGAATGGGTCATCACCAGAAATATGATTTCCTAGTGCAGTGGTTCCCGAACTTGTTCTGCTGCTTGTGCTGGGAAAGCCCCTGGTGGGCCGGGCTGGTTTGTTTACCTGCCGTGTTTGCTGGTTTGGCTGAGCGCGGCTCCCAGTGGCTGCAGTTCGCTGCTCCAGGCCAATGGGAGCTGCTGGAAGTGACGGCGAGTACGTTCCTTGGCCTGTGCCTTTCTCACTGCTTAGATAAATTTTACTTTGAAGGGTAACCTTCAGCAGATTGCACTTCAAAGGGCTATAAAAGAAAGGAGCAGAGAATCCTAGACTATGAGGGTTGGAAGGGATCTCAAGAGGTCATTTAGTCCAACCCCTGACTAATTCCCAATTTTTGCCCCAGATCCTTAAATGGCCCCCTCAAGGATTGAGCTCACAACCTTGGGTTTAGCAGGCCAATGCTCAAACCACTGAGCTATCCCTCCCCCTTAGAACCACAAGTTATCTGCTTCACCAAAGGAGACAAAGGACCCAGCACCTTTAGGCCTCTGGGAGAGATCCTGACTGAGGAGAGCGTCAGTCATTGTCTTGCAGGAAAACTGTAGTTGAGAGAGACCATCTAGAACAAAGCCTTGAACCAAAACTTGCTAGATTAAGTTTTCGATTTGCAGATGTGTGTTTTCACTTTTATTTGCTGGGAACTATTTTCTAACTTTCTTTCTTATACTGGAATTCACTTAAAAGCCTATCTTCTTTTGTTAATAAACTTGTTTTATTTTTAATCTAAACTAACCCTGTGCTGAGTTTGAACTGAACTGTTTGGTACCATGAGTTAAAATAATAAACTGTTGACTATTGACTCCTTAAAGGGCCAATGAATCTTAATATCCCCCTGATTGTTCCAGGACAGGGCTAGACATTTCAGAACTCACACTTTTGGGAAAATTCAGGGCTGGGGAGAGTGTGAAGTCACCATTCCAGTTGTTAACCAAGGCTGATGGAAGCCAGTGGAAATCTGTGGTATTGCACACAGGGTCCAGGATTCAAAGCACTGGACCAGGGCTGCCCAATACATACACAGAGTGCATGCTTGTTGCTGACTTTGTGTCCCAGACAGAGAGCCACAGGGACAAGGCATTGTGTGGGTTACAGGGTAAGAGGTGACACAACTCTTCATGGGTCTGGATTGTACCCCAGAATGGGGCACTATGCTGCAACTGCTAGGAGATGCAGTGCAGGAGGCACAGCCCAGGAGAGTGAGGAGATAATGGCGGCAAATGATGGGCTATACTGGGGGTGGAATAGCCCCTAGCATAATTAGAGCAGCCGTAGGAGTTCTTCTCAGTTAGGACAACTTTCCCCCAACTGCCAGGGAGCTGCTCCACAGTCCCGAACAGCTGGAGTTCACTCCATCTCCCACTCGTGGCTTCGCTGCATCCTCCCACCTCCGCTCCCAAAAATCAAGGACTCTATGGGGAAGGGGCAGCATAAGTCTCCCTACATTGCCTCTGTCAACCCTGTGCTAGGAATCTCAGTTAAAAAAAAAAAATCTCACTCGCCTACTGTGTGGAAAGAAATATGGCAGCAAGATGCCAAAATGTAATCAGTCAGGCCCCTCATCTCTTTTACTGTGCCCAGACTGGGTTTGTGCATGTGGCGAGGTGGTGCTTGTGTATGAGACAATGAACAAACTGATTTCAGTGGAGTTAGACCAAGGCTGGAGTAGCCCTGTACATCCAGTTGCATCCATCGATTTCCATACAGATCTTTGTCATGAACACATATAACGGTCTAGTATCTCTCAACAACCATGTATTTTTTAGCTCTGAACTTAAACAGTTTGTTTTTCAATCTATTGTTGAACAATTATTTATGTAAGCTTTGCTTCTAAAGTGGCATGAGTAGAAAGTTCAAGAGAACAGCAACACAGCACTTTCAAACCCTAGCAAGTCAAGGAAAATACATGCTCCCTTCCCTCCCCCAACCCATTTTATTGTTGGTTTCTTGTATCTTTCATCCTGTTCAAAATGTTTCAAAATGTTGCTGGATGAAGCAAGCATGGAGTAACTGGCTTTTTGGCCTTGTTTTGATGTTTAATTACTTGCAGAAGCCTGTCACTGCTTTGTCTACTTTGCTGTGAATATTCACTCTTATTTCTCAACTACAATTTGTTAGAAGTTTCCTTGTTTGCTTAAAAGCTACTTTCCAACTACACAATAATGTAGCAAAGTTTGTTTGGTGTTTTTAACAAATAATTATTGCTTTCTTTATTTATCTCATTTTTGTTTTCAAGGAAGCAGGAAATAAACACAATTTTAGTATTTTAAGCAGATGGACCATGTTGGAATAATAACATTGAACTCTAATATGTCTAGTAACAAATCTCAAAGTATCTTACACAAGAAAAAAAGTATCATTATCTCATTTTACAAATGGAGAAACTGAGGCACAGAGATGACATAACTTGTCCAAAGTCACACAGCAGGTCAGTGGCAGCGCTGCGATTAGAATGCAGCTCTCCTGACTCCTAGTATAGTGCTCTGTCCACTGGACAATATTATCCCTGGTTTTAAAGACAGCATTTAAAATACAATTAGTCTTTCTCAGACAAATCATATTCTAGTTAGTAAATCTAATTTTCCTAATATTTTGAAAATAGAAGATTTTCAGAAAAACCTGATGCAATAGGGTTTAGTAGGGATTAAGACTCCATTCTTTATATGAGGCTTTATATGAAAATTAGAGCCACAATCCAAATTCTGTTCCATGTACGTGTTTCCCCAGTGAAGGACCAGTCAGTTATTCCATAACAAGCCTGTGAAAGCTACAGGCTGTGCTCTTGTCCATGTAATGGACTGGAGTGAATCTCAGCTTCTGTTTTTAACAGCACAGTCAGTACTGTCACCATCAGAGAAACATGCTCAAAAAGCAAAAGGGCTAGTCATTAAGAGATTTAATGAATATGTACAGGCAAGACTTCAAAATTACAGTGGCTGATCTTACTAAACATGCAGCATCTTAGAAATACAAACACAGGACTTAGTACTCTCAGGGTGCATGTATGCTGTGGGTATGATGTGCACAACACAGAGGTCAGTTTGTATCCATAATACACTCTGTGTGTATTATAATAATCTCCCTGATTTTTCAATTTATTAGACAATGAAGTGGAGAATTCCAAACCTTGGGGCCGCACTGTCACAGGGTCGGGGTTGTGTAGGCAGGGTGGCAGGCTCTGTTCCTTTCTTGTGAGGAAGAGGAAGAGAAACAGGGCGCTTTCTTTTCGGTGGCTAAATTATTCAGACTAATGAGTGTTTCCATTCCCATAAACACACTTCCCAACGTTCAGTATGGTTAGGACAGAGTTGTATTGAGACAGCCTGGGGAGACTGACATAGAATCATAGAATATCAGGGTTGGAAGGGACCTCAGGAGGTCATCTAGTCCAACCCCCTGCTCAAAGAGGGACCAATTCCCAATTTTTGCCCCAAATCCCTAAATGGCCCCCTCAAGGATTGAACTCACAACTCTGGGTTTAGCAGGCCAGTGCTCAAACCACTGAGCTATCCCTCCCCCCTCCCCCCAATGTGTTTGTGTGTTCTAGGGTAGGAAGATGAATGACTTTGGGGTTCAGTAATATGTGTGTACTGAGGGGTGTTGCCTTACAGTGAATTTTAGGGGGTCTGAGCTGTCCCCCCTCTGATATCCTCTTTGCAACGCTCTGTTTGCAAGAGTGCAGACGCATTGACAGGAAGTAGATGAGGATTGTTTCCTGCTCTTCTCCTTTTGCAAACCTGCCAGAGAATAACCTGGTGGGCGTCTGTGTGGGATTTCTGGGCTGGGGGTGGGAGGGAGAGCGAGCGAGCGAGGCAGAGAGAGAGATGTGTACGTATGAACAAACCTCTGTGGAGGCAACCACAAACACTCCTGCCCTCGAGGGGAGAGAGAGGCGACATCACTGCTACTTTCCCATCTCTCCTCCCTTCCTTCGTCCTTTCTGCCTCTCCTTCCTCCTGGCCGCTGGGGAGAGGTGTGTAGGGGGGTGGCTGGCTGGGGAGGTGGCTGTAGTCTCTCTCTTGCTGTGCTATGGTAATAATTGTCCCTTCCCCCCCCCAGCCCAGCCTTCCTCCCCATCTGCTTTCTCCTCCTCTCGTTTGGTTCCAGGCAGGCAGCAGACAGACTGCATCATTTTTTTGCACCGGCTGCAGCAGCAGCGGGGAGAGCGGGAGCAGGTGGAGAGTTCAGAGACTGCAGTGAAGCTGCCCTCGAGACATGGCGGATCAGTGCCTCTGAGGAAGCAAAAAGATCCCCAAGCTGCCTCCGCTCCCAGCCCCGGCTCGCTGGGCGGCTGCTGCCAGGCCAAGGAGCAGGAGAGAAGCGGCCAGAGGACAAATGGTGCTGCAGCCTTTTCTTTGATTTCCTCCCCTTCTTCTCCATGTTGCATCTCTCTTCAGTGCTTCAGTCCGTGTAGCCGCTGCTGCTAGCAGGAGTATCCAGGGACAGTGCCACCCAGCCCTCCCTTCCCCCACCCCCTCTCCATCTATCTGTCCGTCCAGCCCGCCAGCCATCCACAGGGGCTATGGCTGCAGAAGAGGTATTGCAGGCCGTGGATCACTACAAGACTGAGATCGAAAGGCTGACTAAGGAGCTCACCGAAACAACCCGCGAAAAGATCCAGGCTGCTGAATATGGGCTGGTGGTGCTGGAGGAAAAACTCACCCTGAAGCAGCAATATGACGAGCTGGAGGCTGACTATGATTGCCTTAAACAGGAGCTGGAGCAGCTGAGGGAGGTGAGTTAGCGGATGCTTTTCTCTCCCCTTCTTCTTCTCCCTCCCGAATAAACCCCATGCACTAAACGAAACGAAATAAGGAAAGGTGCCTAAGGAGCTCTTCTTACTGATGCCCTCTGATAATCTACCTGAGCCCCTTGATCAGACATGGAAGCAAAAATGGCCTTGTGGAGAATGTGTGTAAAGAACCCTAGAGGCATGAATTGATGAGATGGGGAGGAGTGATTTATTTCGGGGCCCAAGAGTCAGCAATGACTGTAGAGTTTAGAGTGGATTATATGACGTTTTAAACTACTTAAGATGCCAATGATACGTAGGCATTGCCCTAACCTGTGTAGCAAGATAACAACTGGGAACCACAACTTCTAATAGCAGACATTGGCAGCACTGGGAAATACTTCAGCCATACATGAATGTTTGGCCCTTATTTAAAGAGAAACATTTGGTGAAACCTGGACAATCTCAGTCTATAATATTATGGGTGTTATGTATACAGTATGTTGTAATATGTGGAAACAGAGACACCTTCTCGGGGTTACTTAGATACATTTAGGGGGCAGCCTCTCATTCAGCAGGGGCAAAGCAGCCAGAAGATAGTTATGAGATCACACTAATCAGTGAAAATTAAACTTCTAGCTCATCCTTAAAGGATGAAGTATTTGATCTAATACATATTTTTGGATATGTCTTTCAGCTGAGTTTGTATAACATGGAAAGTATAATTATGAGTGTTACACATAACCTTTTATCATGTAACCTTTTATTTATTCCTCACCTTTGGATTGTCATCCTGCTACCTATATTTATCATTAAGAGAAGTAACAAAGATTCATACAATGAGCATACAGTCCATCTATGGTAGCATGTGTTTGCATAGCCAGTATTATCCTATCTAATCTCTAAATTTTAAAATGGTCTCATCTTTGTTTATAAAGACAGAGCAAGTTAATTCACACACAAAAATTACATTGATGTAATTAAGTAAACCTTTGGAGAAGAGGAGGAAACGTATAAGAATGATCTTTTCTGAACATTTAAAGTAATGTTTTTCTTCTGTAAAATTATATTGCCATTTATAATCAAATATAGGGAAGATCTATTCAGTGAGAAACAATGAACTAGATATTTCTCATTGAGAACAGTAATTTGTTGACCAAGCTTATAAATAACATATCTACATATGTGTTCAGACACTAAGCTGTATGCACTTTTATAAATATTTGTTTATACATGAAAAGGTTTTGTTTTACCTCCTGATAAATGTGATAAGTTAAATACTTTGTTCCAGTGACCAGGATAGTTTTCAGAAATAATATTTTTGTAACAGAGTTATCTGATTTGTTGTGCTGCTCACACTCACGCTCTTGTTAAGCTCTTATATAAAAGGTAGAGCTGAGGTTTTCCTCCAAAACTCGCTGGTCCAGTGCAGTGGGCTCAGGATTTGAAACCAGTGACCTCAGCTTCCTGGATTGGGATGGGTAACTTGTGCTGTCATGAGGGCTGAGCTGGTAAAAGTGGTCCAGTAGTAAAAGGGAACTATAACGAAGGTGCAATTATAAAATGTAATTGATAGGGAAAAAGGAGATATAAGTAACAGCATCTGGCTGTGATCTTCTCAAAGCAGTGTACATAAGTGCTGATAAGGAACTACTGAGGACACAGGGTTGGGCATTAACAGAGGGGCAATGATTAATGCAAGAAATTAAATTAAATGTGAAAAAATTAAGCTTGAGCAGTTATTCAGTCCTGATGTCTGTGTTGACAAGATTTGTTGACATTAGAAAACCTATAGGTATAAATTCTGTTCTGATTTACACCCCACTGAAGCCTATGGGATTGCACGGGGTGCCTATCAGCACAGAATTGAGTCCACAGAACCAAATCCTTGTCTCTGGACCCACAGGCTGTGGAGGATTGGGCCAAAAGAAATCTGATGAGGTTCAACAAGGACAAGTGCAGAGTCCTGCACTTAGGACCGAAGAATCCAATGCACCGCTACAGACTAGGGACCGAATGGCTAGGCAGCAGTTCTGCAGAAAAGGACCTAGGGGTTACAGTGGACGAGAAGCTGGATATGAGTCAACAGTGTGCTCTTGTTGCCAAGAAGGCCAATGGCATTTTGGGATGTATAAGAGGGGCATTGCCAGCAGATCGAGGGATGTGATCGTTCCCCTCTATTCAACACTGGTGAGGCCTCATCTGGAGTACTGTGTCCAGTTTTGGGCCCCACACTACAAGAAGGATGTGGAAAAATTGGAAAGAGTCCAGCGGAGGGCAACAAAAATGATTAGGGGACTGGAACACATGACTTATGAGGAGAGGCTGGGGATGTTTAGTCTACGGAAGAGAAGAATGAGGGGGGATTTGATAGCTGCTTTCAACTACCTGAAAGGGGGTTCCAAAGAGGATGGCTGTAGACTGTTCTCAGTGGTAGCAGATGACAGAACAAGGAGTAATGGTCTCAAGTTGCAGTGGGGGAGATTTAGGTTGGATATTAGGAAAAACTTTTTCACTAGGAGGGTGGTGAAGCACTGGAATGCGTTACCTAGGGAGGTGGTGGAATCTCCTTCCTTAGAAGTTTTTAAGGTCAGGCTTGACAAAGCCCTGGCTGGGATGATCTAATTGGGGATCAGTCCTGCTTTGAGCAGGGGGTTGGACTAGATGACCTCCTGAGGTCCCTTCCAATCCTGATATTCTATGATTCTATGATAGGAAATAACCATTGAGGGAGGAAGGGGAAGAATCCTTTTGCTCCCGGACATGAAATGGCAGTGAAACCATTCCACAGTTGCTAATTGAGTTCCAGGATCCTGGCTCTCTCTGGCGTATATATCAATTCTGGAGAGGAGGGCAGCTCCCCATAGCTGTACATCATGGTGTACAGGGCATTTAAACCCTCTCAACAGGCTACCAGAATTCTATTCTTCCTCCTGCTCCCTGCAGAAGAGCTACTGATTCTGTTACATATAAGTAGAGCTTTGCATGGATACAAAATTTATATTCACATCCAATCCGCGATCTACAAACATGGTCCATGGATATCCGCATATGCAGAAGTGAAGCGAGTATCCACATCCACAGAAGTAAAGCAGGTATCCGCATCCACAGAAATAAAGTGGGTATCCACAGTAAATAGAATTGTTGAGGAACTGGCTGGAACCTGCTGAAAGCGATTCCATATCAATGCAGAATCCCAACGAGACAATAGAAATCCCCAGTGACTTAAACATTGACACCTAGGAAACCACAACCAAGTCCCCAGCTCAGGAACAAAAACTGAGATGTGACCCGCAGAGGATAGAGTGTGGGCTTCTGGTTCTGGGGGAGCGTGGCTGCTCTCTCCTGTGACTAACTAAGATGGTCAGAGAGAGAAAGAGGCTGAAATGGAGTTCTCTACAGCTTGGCTGGTGAATTGCTCTGGCTTGACCAGAATGGACTGTGATTTAACCTTTCTATTTCTCTACACTGACCTAAGGACTTCCAGTGCTGTGTTCCAGTGGACTAACAAATCCCACTGTGTTTTGACAATGCTGCTTGGCTGTCCCTGCAAATACTTGCCTTAGTCTCTGAAGAGTGTATAAGTCTTTAGCAGAAGGCTACCTCAGTTGGATTTCCACCAGCACTGGGCAGAGGTCAGCAGATGCTCAGTCTAGGATGTGGTGAGGCTGTGTGGCCTGCCCTGGCCTGAAGGAAGAGTAGGACTCCTTGGGGATCTGCCACACTAAAGGGATTCCTCTAAGAGACTGATTAAAAACTGGAGCATAGCACAGATCCTGTGGATCTGTGACACATGCAATGGAAACAAGTCAGTAAGACTGAAAGAAAAATGCTGTCAGACTTGCATTAGGTGCATCCTGATTGTGGCCCAGAATGTGAACCCTTATTTCACTGGTGATCAGTTACTGACGTGTACAATACAATGAAAACTTAAAAAGGAGGAAGGTGTCCCATACTGTTGTGTTAAACCAGTCTGTTCCTGTGCAACAGTATGCACAGACAGGATAGTGTTGTAGGGATAAAGTCAGTTGCCCCAATTCAGGATCCCTCCAAAACCTATGAAAAATGGCCTCTGTGTGTCTTCTGAAACATGCACTGCAGAGGGTATTCTGGGGTGTGGGCTGCACATGTAGGCAACTAAGACCTTTGACTAAGCAATGGTAGAAGTCAGTGGCAGATTTAGAGTTAGTGGGGCCCTGTATGCAGCTTCATTTTCAGGCCTCCCCCCCACCCCCCAGGACCCAGCCAAGAAAAGGAACATTCTATCTTATCTCCTCCCTGTTTTTCATTCTTTTTTTCTTCATCCTCCTCCTATATTATAAGTAATGCAAAGTAAATGAAAATAAAGTGCGGTACCTTGATTGGGGCAGAGGGTTGGGGTGCAGAAGTGGGTGTGGGGGTTGGACTCTGTGAGGGAGTTTGGATGCTGGGTGTGGGCTCTGGGCTGGGGCAGAGGGTTGGGATGCGGGAGGGGGTAGGGGGGGTGGTGCTTACCTTGGGCAGCGCGGCTCCCAAAGTGACTGGCACACACACCCCTCTGGCAGCAGCTCGTAGGTGGGGGTGGGGTCAGGAGGTCAACCAATTGGCCTGCCAATGGGAGCTGTGGAGTCAGTGCTCAGGGCGGGGCAGCACGCAGAGCCATGCCGGCCACTTCTGGGAGCAGCGCGGCATGGAGGGAGGGAGGGAGGCAGAGCGGGCAGGAAGCCGCCTTAGCCCTGCAGCTGTCACATTTTTGTGCCTCCCCTTGGGGGGAGGGGGGGCAGCAGGTTTCCGTGTTTGTTTCATGGTAAATCCACTCCTGGTAGAGGTGGAACTCCCAAGACAGATTATTTTGCTTCTACAAGAATTATCTGTGTGTGTATGTGTGTGGTTTGTGCATGGGAGGAAGGACTGGGTTTCAAGCTATTTTCACTGTATATTTGCCACGTTCTGAATTCATTGGCACACTGGGATAGAATTTGGGTCTATATTTGTACTGACACAGGTATTCATTCAATTAATGA